ATTGAATCCCTGCGTCCGATGGGGGTTTTTTAGATGCTGATCCCGTGACCGTTTTTTTCTCTCGATTTCATAATTTTAGTATTTAGTGGGTTTTCACGCCAACGGTTTCCCAAATGGATTGGTGAGACGGGTAAGGACTAGAGCTTGTCGGGGGTGGAAATACTCGATTGCGATGTTCAAACATTCTCGCTCTTATTTGATTTTTTTCTGCTCGACATTTTTGGATAATGTTTTTGAAAGGATGAAGAAAACATCGGTTTCCTCTCTCATTCCGTCTGTTCCTTGCCGTTCCCCTAATTCTTTGGTCCACTCCAGTTTATAAACTTTGTAATTGGTGAAAATGTAATTTTTACTCCCGTTTGTGACGCTAAGGAGGCCTAAAATACGGGGACCAATCAGAATCGGATTCGTATCGTCTTTACTCTCAGTGTAAAGGAACTGTAGAGAAATCATTGTGTGTACTAACGCGATGGATGACGTCATACCTCGTGTTTTCCAATGAGAGATATCTCCGCTAATGTTTGACGTAGAAACTTGGCGTTTGAACCGCGGGCCATAATCTTGCTTGCTAATCTACAGAGTGTCCAAGGATTAAGTTCGAAAATTGAAGGAGTCAATTCTTTGGGTCAAAAGAAGACGTTTCTGTTGTACATTTTGGTTTTCAAAACGCTTTCCCTGTAAGTTACGGTCCCCCAAAATTGGAGGAAAAAAAATCATCTTTTTAACACCGTGACAATGTTTATCAACCAATATCAATGAAAATCAGTAACTTGCGGTATAGTTTTTAACGCTCTTTTCATTTTTGACCCCTAAAAAGGGAACACTTATTTTGAGGGGGAGAGGAGGTTAGGGGGGGTATCGAACCTGAAAGTGGCCAAAATTAATTTTTCTAACCCAAAAAAATTGATATTTGATGGCATCATTCGATTCAACATTGAAAAATATTAAGGAAATGTATCTTGAGTTTTTTTAGCTATGACTTATCTTCGTCGAGATAATAGCGACTGAATGGAGCACTGGTGGGCGTAAAGGGGGTGGGGGTGGGTGGCACCCAGGGAAAGCGTTTTTGGAAGAAAAAGTTACACTACATAAATGCTTTTTTTTACCCAAGGAATTGACTTTTTCAATATTCGCACTTAATCTTAGGACACCCTGTAGAAACTGAAATCATTAAAAACACGATTCTCTGATTAACCTAACTGAGCCATTGTTGGGTGGAATCGTCTTTCTTAATTCATCATGGCTGGGCCCAAAATTATCAGGATTTTATCACCACAAGTTTTAGTCCAGACTCAATGACTATTATAGTTCACAATTTTTTTCTTCTTTTTTTTCTTCATGGAGATTAAGAATTTCGCAAAGCTAGGCACGCGGTTTGGCGGTAACACTGTGGATATATTAGTTAAATGTATGGAGAATAAATTCTTGTTTTTATGGCACAGCAGACTTGATCGGTCCATGTAACTAAAGTTTTTAGCCGTATAGTGCGTACTTGGATTCATGCCCACGAAGAGAAATGAATTTCGACTGAAAGGCTGGTACAGTCCAAAAGCTCCATGAAGCCTTTGCGGAGGTAGTGAGCATTGTCAAAGTACAACCGCATGCGGGCTAATGCTTTGAGCTTCGGTTCTGCCGAAACCCTTGTTAGCTTTAGCACAAAAGTATCCACGATACGAGCTGAAAAGTTGTAGGAGCAAGTATAGCTTGTCATGGTTCTATTGAATTTTGTCGTTATCGAGTAATCGTTTCCCGATCCCCAGCTCCTGTCCCATGTAGGCACCAGAATTCGGTCCCTGTGACGGAATTTTTTTCCTCTGAAAGGCTAGAGCCACGTTATTCTTGTGGTGATTGACAATGCCAATACTTTGTTCGAATGCTATCTAAAAGATTCAAGTTGTTTTTTAATCACAAAATCATTAATGAATTTTAAGCACATAGAAAAAGAAGATAAATTTAAGAATCAGAGAGCTTACAGTGTGTTTTCGCTGGTCGTAAGTGTATGACCCCATTGAATTTGGAAAGACCGGACAAATAAATAAGAAAATCAGTTTAAAACAAAGTTTTTCTACTCCTTATTGATACAACTTTAGAAAGGAACTGATCGTCTCCAAATTCATTTATTTTTAGAACAAAATAAGTCCGCAATAAGTCTTTAATTTATCTTAACATTTGCATTGGTGGCAAACACGCCTTTAGAATTATTAATTAATGGGCGCTCAATACTAATTAGTGTCTTAAGTGCCTCGGGAAAATGAGCCCAAGGTTAAGGAGAAGTCCAGCAATATTCAAGAAAAGGTCTACGGAAAGTACCAAATGTTTGAGATATTCCGTGTCGTGAAGGAAAATTTAACGCGTTTTTTGTTCATTTGAATGATTCAACCATTAAAACACAATTCCGTCACACGCACAATCGAAGCGTTGCGTCGCGAAAACCTGAGCAGCGCGTGTTTTTTTTTATTTATTGCAGTCGATAAGTTTTTATTAATTGCCTCTGAAGAAAATTCGATCGTCCCTCTTTCTATTTTGTTTACTCGCCGGCTCGTCAATACGTCAGGTGACGCAATAACCGTAGATCGGCAGGTCCAAACGAGCATTTCGACTGCGTGTTCAAGATCTCTGGCTCAGTCACGTTGTGAAGTGTTGTTCGGTATTGTCGTGCGTGCGTTCATTGCAACGATAGTTGAGTCAACTCGGACTAAATTTTTGAAATTATTCGCAGTTCGTATTCGACTAAATCCAAATCGCGAATCAGTTCAATACCTTTCGTGGTAAATATTTTAGGAGTAACACAATAATTACGTGTTGCATTTTTCTTTGAAGAATCCTTGTATCTGTCATTTTATATACTGGGATATTTTCGTATTCAATAATTTATTCAAGTGCTCGCTTGATATTTTTGATAAGCAAGAGTGGGATTTTCGCGGATCAAAAATCCTCGCGCGTTTTCAATGCTGTGTCGTGAGCCGGTATCAGAGTGTGATTACGAAACTCGCAGAATTCCGCCGAGCAATCATGATCGAGTTCAATATCAAGAAGCAGATCAATAAGGCTGTCTACAAGCTCCTTTGCGGGGCTGTCCATCACTCCTGCTTTTTTCGGGTGAGCCAATCGTACAGATCATTTTCTCTTTCAGGCTGCCTAGCCAATGGGGAAACGGGGACTTTAATTTTGAGGAGGGATATGCCAACAAACAGGAAATTTTGAAAAGTTCCAAGAGTCATAGACTAATCATTTTTTGGATTCAGAAAGACAAAAAATTCCGGAAACAGGGAATACTATTCTGTCATGCTTAGCAATGGAAAAAAAAACACATTGGATCTAGAGTCCAGACTCTTAAAAACATCGCCAAAAAAAAGTAATCTTGATTCAATCAGAATCTAGCTTAAATCAAGAACCAAGCTTCTTAATTTAAGCGGATATCGTTTTGATTCAAGCAAAAATCCGATTGAATCAAGAGTATTTTTTCTTTTCAATGTTTTCAAGAGTCTGGACTCTAGATCCAATGTGTTTTTTTCCAGTGAGGAAAAACGCCGTTTGAACATTCGAGGGTTACCAAATTTCTCCAGTTACATTTATTTTTGAGGAAAGTTATTCATATTTCTTCTTGAATCAGATGTTTTAGATTAAATCGCGAACAAAATTGTCTGGAAATTTTGAAGGAAAATGTTCACAATGTTCCAAGAAAATTTGGTTTTTATTGAAGTAAATCCGGCAACGTCTAAAGGCTCATACGGCGTTTTTCCTTAGCACGGCAGAATTGCACAGGGAAGAAACACAAGAAAAGGAGGGACTTTAAGGGCAGGGGGAAGGCTCCAAAAACATATGAATTTTGATACTTTAGTGCTGTGGTGTGTGAAAGAAAGAAATTTTCCTAGCCATCACAGTGTGTTCAATGTTGGGAGGAAAAATCATTAATAATTCATCAGAAAATTTGTGGGGAAACCTAAGGAAAAATCAGGGCATTATGGTTTTTTTTTTTGTCATGGTTGACGAAAATTTTAAATTTCAGCATCCGGAGAGTGCTAAATATTGTTTTTCTTTGGCTGGATGAACAGGATACGTATACGTAAGTAAACCTCAGGGTTCACACACACACACACGGATGCGGATTTTAAAATCGCCCGATTTTAGGAAGAAATGCAGGGAATTTCACTGAAAATTCCGAATGTTAGACAGACACCGGGAATTCGTAAATTGAACATTATGTGAACTAAAAAAAATAAATAAGTAAAAAGTAATAAACAAAATTAATCCAGGGAAAATCGGAACAGTTAGAATTGGAGAAAATATGAGGAACTATCCCCCCCCCCCTTCCTTCAGTTTTATCGTCCGGAGCTCCAAATTACGCGACCTTCTCGAGTGAAGGTGGAGGGAAATAAAAGAAAAGATCCATGGCAGAAGTGAGACATAAAAGTATTAACTGCAGGCCGTTTATTACTCGAGTTTATGTGCGGGCATCCGGAGAGTTTTACTACGTATCCCTCTGTGCAGCTTTGAGGTTTCAAGCCATCGCCGCCCGAATAAGCTCTCCCTCAAGAGGAGGAAGCACGTAAAAAAAAATTCAGATGTAAAGTCTATACCGTTCGAGAATTGTGAGGACATAGCACAAGGTGAAGTTTAATGTTCCCGGGAAAAATTTCATAACTCCGGTGCACTTTCATCGCCACAGCTCGATGCAGTCCTAATTATTCCAATAATCATGCTAGAGCTTTTCAAATTGTCTCGTCATGTTCAAATTCCTCTCTCGAGTGAGGGATATTTGGATCACATTTTGCATCAAGGAACCACTATTTCTGGCCCATCACTGGTAAAAAAACCTCTTGGGCCAATGCCGCGGTGCATTGACTTAAAAGTGCAGTTTCTTGTCGCCGGATTTAAGAGTCTTGAACTCTTGTTTCAAGCGGATTTTGCATTGAAACAAGAGTCCAGACTCTTAAATCCGGCGATATGTAGAAACTGCACTCTTGAACCAAGAGGTTTTTTTACCAGTGATTGTAGAAACAACATACATGCCATTGGTTTCCCTATACAGATATGCGCTTTTTTGGGAGAGCCGGAAATAGTGGTTCCTTTTTAATTGCAAAATGTGATCCATTTTGTTTGTCGGCTTTTTCTTCATACAACCGAGCCAATTTTTGTAGAAACTACGTATTAGCTGTTCGATGCTGATGAGATTGTGCAACCTTCTTCTATACTAGAAATATATTTTCTATTGATTTCTAACCCTAGAATTGGCGTTTTTCTCCTCGAAAAAAAAACGGGAGCGGAAATTTCGAAACACCGCAATGGTGGTCCGACGTTTCGCTTTTCGGCCATCAAAATGATATTATGAAGGTACTGGTGGCATTTTTACCCTCAAAAATCTACCGTATATTTACTAATTTTTTCCACAAAAATTGCTAGCATGTGAGTTTATTTGGTTTCCTCCATGTTATGTATGAAAATGTAAGCAATAGTGCGGATCGTCCACGGCGTTTTTGAAAAAAATGTCTCAATTACCCCCCAAGATTCATGGGGCACAGCGGCAATTCTCGTGAACTGGCAACGCTGTAGATTACTTCCTTCATGTAAGTCCATAATAAAGAATCGATTTTAGCGAAGCAGCGAGCCAATCGATTGTCTCCCATGCATTCAAACGGACGAGACCCCTAGTTTTGCCAACTGGCGAAAAATTGCGACTCATGGAATAGATTCATATAGATTTGTTCAGGGTAGCAGGGGGAGGGGGTGAGGGGGGCAAAGAACTGTGTAGAATCGTAGAGGGAAAAAGTGAATATTTATGTTTGAGCCAAAAACCCTTATTTTCCAAGTCCGTCAGCCATCGAGGAGAAACTTAGTTCAAAAATGTTTGTCCTGTAAATCGGTGTTTACTTTTTCCGGCTTTCCTGTAAACCTAATAAAAATGGGAAAAACAACCTCTCGCGTCGAGAGTGGTTCTGACACACATCCTCTTCACGTCTTACATGAGATTCCCCAGCGAAAAAAACCGCAGCGACGCCTTGAAGCTCGTAATTCACTGGAAGGCTATTTTCCAGTTAACTCTCATGTGTGCGCGCAAGCATGAGATCGATATAAGGAGCTGAAGATGTTTGTGAAGCCCTAAAACATCGCTCGGAAAGCACCCAACTCGTGAAGGTGAACGACCTATCTCTCGCCATGAGCCTTGTTAACTTTTTCGCAGTCTGAACACTCAGCTCGTGTGCTTTTGCATAGCTGTCCTAGTTATCACGGAAAAAATTAAATTGCTGATTTAACGATTCAATTGCTAAAAAAAGTGACTGCAATATTTCAACGTAGATTTCACAACACAAAAATGCTACTTCAACTACCCCCGTGGTTAAATTAGCTTACAATAGTGGTTAAAGTACCATTTTTGTGATGTGAAATCTATGTTGAAATATTGCAGTCACTTTTTTTTAGCAATTTAATTGTTAAATCAGCGATTTAATTTTTTTCGTGTAATTGTAAGCTTTACAAAAAGCCCAGTTAAACAGAAAACAATTTTAACACTCTTGTTTCTCTATAATGCTATGTATGGCAGTAATTTAAAAAAAAAATCGTCGAAACGTTATTGTTACATTTTTCAAATCTAAAAAATGTCGAAGGAAAGTTCTTTGAAATGCTTTCAAAATATATTTTAATATAATATGTTTAATGTTTGCGTATGATTGTACTTGTCAACAACCTCCCCCTTATATATCCCACTAGGATAAAAATAAAGTAAAAATATTCTTTAAAAAAAACTAAAAGAAATTGTTTTAATATTATATATTTATGAAAAAGGCTTAGATTACTGGATTTAGCAGTTCAAAATCAGGATTTCCCAAAATAAAAAAAAAACTAGACACCCTGTGAAAACATTTGACGAAAGATGAAAAGGTTGATTCTTCCTCCGAATTTTGGAAATGAGCGTTTTTCCTAGAGATCCCAGAGGAAAGTGAGTGGCAAGCCCGCATTTTAATCAGAGAATTTTCCCGTGGAAATCAGGAAATATCAGGGAATGAGGAAAATTAAGGAGTCGAGACATGGTATGTTTGTCTCAGGACAGGATATCGCTTGGAGGAAGCTCTCGAAATTGGTTTTTTCGCTCGGTTTTAAGCATCCCTTTTTCGGGACGGAATTCTGCGAACTTGGGTTTGCGTCGACAGTCTAAAACGGGTCTCGTCTCTCCACTACCCCTCCTCCTTCTCTGCCGTGCTAAGGAAAAACGCCGTATGAACCTTCAGGCGTTGCCAAATTTCCTTTGATTAAACGCACATTCTCGAGAAAACTTATGATTATTTTTCTTCCAGGTTTTCATATTATTTTGTCCGCAATTTCACCCAAAGTTCCTGAAGATTTCAAGGAAAAATACACATGAATCTCCTCAAAAATACACATTTTATCGGAGGAAATTTGGCAACTCTCGTATGTTGATACGGCGCTTTTCCTCAGCACGGGAGTTTTGTTCGTCATTCAAACATTTCGAACGAGGCGTTTCGTTTCGTTTGACTTCGGGCTCAAAGGCCACGCGTTTCTCCCTCTCGGTAAATAGGTGTAATGAAAAGGTTTCGCGGAAAAGTTGGGCGATGTAGCGATCCGCTGTTAGGATTCGCGTGGAAATTGAAGCTGTCAGACGAAAGCTCCCGCGCGCCCAAGTCGGGCGCGAAACAAGGCTCTTATCCGCGAATTATCTCGCTAAAAGGTTTGGCGCGGATTCACGCGGGCGGGCGGGCTCCGAACCGCCGTTTTAAAGTCGCTCGACGGCGCCGCGCCGTTTCGCCCGCTTCAAAGGCTCCGCGTCTTGCGTCAAACCGAATCTGCACACCAGGTAGAAGATGCTCTCGATGTGTGTATGCGCTTTGTTTCGTTGCCATGATTTGGCTTGCGCCAATCCGTCAGGTTTTATTTCCGGTGAAAGTTTCAGCAAATGCACCACTAGACAAGGTACGAATTTCAGCATTCTGATACCAGTGGCGTGGCGTGAAATATCGATTATCGATATTTCTCCATTTGAAGCTGTATTAAAGAATCGATTATCAAGGTGTTCGCAGCGAACACCTTGATAATCGATTCTTTTCCATAGATTTAAATGGCAGATCAATCGATATATCGCAAAG